TATATATATATATATATATATATATATATATATATATATATTCAGAATTTTGGGGTTGGTAAGATTTTTTTTGGAATGAAAAGAAGTCTCTCCTGTTTACCAAGGCTACATTTATTTAATTAAAAATACAGCAAAAACACAACAGCAATGTGGTGAAACATTACTACAATAAATACGAAAGATAAATAATCTTTGAAATTAATCAATAATTATAAATGTGATTTTTATTTTTAAATTTACATTACCATTTAAAATTTTGGGGTTGGGAAGATTTTTTTGTTTTGTAATGAAAAGAAGTCTCATGTTCACCAAGGCAGCTTAAAATTACGGAGATGACGAGTCAGTGTCGCCGACTTCATCTCTTAAACCGAAAGCAAAGAAAGCACTAGTTTATAAAATTATTAAAATGTTTCATAACCATTACTTCTGCGGTGCGCTGAGGCAAGCTTTATCCGTGCGCTTGAGCGCATATATTAGGCTACGTAGGCAATTAAAGGCTTATTATAATGATTTAAATGGTTAATTAATAAACGTGCGATTAGTCGACTAATGCTTAAAATGAACGACTACTAGTCGACCAGAAATTCACAGGTATATTCTCCATCAGTAAATGTTAGAAAGCCATGGAAATATTTCCATTTTTATGTCAGAAGTGCATGAGCCTTCTGCTTTGGGATTCTCCGCTCAACTTCACTTCAGTGAACGAGCTCCACTGCGCGCATGCGCGCCAAACAATAATTCTGACTAAAATATACATTTCGCTGAAATATTTGTTCCAACTTGTTCTAAACATGTGACAAGCTTCATATTAAGGCCTTTAAAAACTGGTAAGACAGTCTTTTCGCATATTAGTTTAAGCGGCTCGGCCCGTCAGATGCTCTGACAGAAAGGCTGCGTGTGCCGCTGACAGAGACAGGATAATGTTACTCGCGCTGTTTAATGTGTTTGAGATGTGTTGTCTTCCTGAATGCATAACTTACATTTTACAGGTATATTCTCCATCAGTAAATGTTAGAAAGCCATGGAAATATTTCCATTTTTATGTCAGAAGTGCATGAGCCTTCTGCTTTTGGATTCTCCGCTCAACTTCACTTCAGTGAACGAGCTCCACTGCGCGCATGCGCGCCAAACAATAATTCTGACTAAAATATACATTTCGCTGAAAT